GTGTAACTTAGGGGTGATCGAAGAAGTTAAAACATAGTGGTTGACTATGGACATTATTTGCTGCATAGGCCGGTGATAAAAAAAAATCTGATGTGTACACCACGACTTCCTTGTACGGAATATTAAATTATACACATTTTTTCTTGCATTTCATTTAAACGTATTGGATTGAGTTAAATCTACTTTGTCGACAGTGCATAAACCACAAGAGAATAAATGTATTCTTTAAAATTCACTCTATTTGTTTACCATAGCGACACTCTGCCTCTGGGTTCACTTAACAAAATATAAGTATTGTAATCACAAAAGTTTCAGGCAGCATACTAACAAAATATAATAGATATTTTGTTCATATTATAACTCAGAATGCACAAAATTTATATCATTTAAAGAATTATCTAATCGTTGCTGCATGTTCTATTCAAATACTATAATAAAGCTAGAACGATGCATAAAAGAAATTAAGCAAAGAAAACAAAAAAGAAACAGTTTTTCACGGACGATTGAGTATTTCTCATTCAATTAATTCAGTTCTCACTTCGCGACAAGGCAAAAATACATAAAAACTCAAAATATCTCTATAGAAAATTACGAAGTAAATCTTAAACACTTATTTCCTGGAAAAAATTCCAGAAAGTATTAAGCCTGATTTAATTCGCAATAATAAATGAAGGCGTTATCTTTGTTGTTGCGAAGCTAAGCTTCTCTAGATTGGCAACAAATCCACTATCCTGCTGTTTCAAATGTAAACAAGCAATGGCCGCCATCAAAAAAATTATTAGGCTTAGCGGCAATTAAACAATTTTAAAATTGTTGATAATTCTAAACATATTGCATAGAGACTTACTAAAGGCATAAAAACCTTAACCAGACAATAAGAACAACATAAGTCAATCATTTTTAAAGCAAAAAATGTACAATTTACAAACATATAAGAGTAAAGAAACTGAGATCACTCAACCGGGTAACAGAGTAGATATATATATAAATATATTTACGTATGTTTGGTGCGGCCGATTGCAACCAAAATATGAGGTGCACATCTACATGTTATAGCAGTCCTATATAAAAAATTTCAACGTTCTGAGGCTACTCGTTTTTGAGTTATGTGAGATACGTACATACGTTCGTACAGACACCCCGAAAACTTCTCTTCAGAATTCCTTTTAAAGCAGTTTTATAATTTTTTTGGAGGAAAAGAGTATTTTACTCTGTCCTTACGTACAGATATCACACAAAAAATTGTTAAATTGCATGCGATAGCCGTCAAAATGGATATTTTCGTTGAAATATGCTGCCTGAAACTTTTTGTGATTACAATACTTCCTTTTTACTTCGTACAAGGAAGTAAAAATAGCTCGACACCAATTTGACCAGTGTTTGGTGCGTCTGTGAGGAAACAACCGTCTCCTTCTTTAAATCACTGTTTGGATGCGAACCAAATTTGATAGAATTAATTCCTTCTCTTTTGTTGAGATTTTGTGAAGGCAAGTTTGCTACTATAGCAGACATTGACAAGGCTTTCTTACAGATCAGTGTAAAGCCTCAAGATAGAGATTGGCTTCATTTTTTCTGGTGGAATGATGTAAACGAAAATATTTCGTCATACTAGAGTAGTATTTGGGGTTAAGAGTAGTCCTTTTCTTTTGACAGCTGTTAGAGAATTCCATCTACAAAAGTACATTAAAAATTCTCAGTATGATATGGAGATGATAGCTAACCTCTCGCATAGCTTCTACGTAGATAATGTTGTTGCCAATTTTGATAATGAATCCGAGATAATCCAGTTCATCAAAAATTCTTGAGAAATAGTGTATGAAGGAGAGTTTAATCTTCGAGGTTGGTTACGTACCGGAGATAACTTGAAACAGGAAACTATTTCACCCATATTGAGCCTCTTATGGAACTCTCAGAAAGATAATTTGACTTATCTTGAATCTGAATTGGTTAGAAATAAGTATAATAACGAAAAGAACAATTCTTGCTGTAACACACAAAATATTTGATCCTATTGGCATTGCGAGTCCTCTTCTCTTGTATCTTAAAATACTGTAGCAGAACCTATGGAAAATAGGATACTGAAGTTGACGAAAGTGCAAAAAAAACTTTGTGAATTGGTATAAAGGCCTTTTTCTCTTAAAAGAAATCTCACTCCAACTTGGATACATTCCAGCAAGGACAATAGGAAGTTCTGCAGCATTCACACATTCTGTGATGCCAGTAGTAATGCTTATGCTGTTGCTATTTTCTTGAGAACTGTGACAAATTCTGGAGCTGAAGTTCATCTGTTAGCATCAAAATCTAGAGTAGCTCCTGTGAAGTCTGTCACGATTCCTTGTCTCGAATTGATAGCTGCCATGATAGAAGCCAGACTGTGCTCTTCCGTTTTAAAGGGTTTACAATGGCAAAATGTAGAAATGCGTTTTTGGACAGATTCTACAACAGTTTTGACATAGATTCAAAAGGAAGAGATCATCTGGACTGTCTTTGTGGGAAAACAGAGTCAGGGAGATTAGGAAACTGAAAGATCCAAATCCATGGAAACATGCTGGAACAAAAAATCCAGCTCACCTCCTATCAAGAGGTTACACCGCCAAACAAATTTTGACACTAAGATGGTGGTGCAAGGGCCCCAGTTGGCCAAAGAAAATTCAGGAAGATTGGTCTATAATCATGAAGATATAACTTATGAAATGAGAAAAAGCGTAATGAAAACTTATTAAAGCATAGAAACTGAAATAATCTTCCATAGAATAACTCATTAGAATAGTTTCTTGGAGTTTAAGATTTTACTTTAATCTAAGATCTAAAGCGTCATCATGCTCTGGTGAACTAACTGTAAAAGAAATCAGTGAAGCAGAACTTATTATTTGGAAAACTGTCCAACGAGAAGAATTTCCTGATGGAATAAAAGACCAGAGAATAAAACCTTTTCGTCCACTACTTGACAAAAAGGGATTAATAAGAGTACAAACGCAGATCTTTAGCAGAAAAGATAAGCAAAATTTTCAGCTACCAATAATACTGCCATCAAAGCATAGAATTGCGCATATGCTTATTGCATATAAACATAAGGAACTTGGGATTCCAGGAGTGCAAATATTGATGAATCGCCTTTGAGAAAATTATTAGATTTTGCAAAGTCGCAAAACGATTCAACAAGTTATCTTTAAATGTGTTAGATGGTTCTGGATGAGTGACAATTCACCGTCACTCATCCAGAACTGAAAGCCACTTTCTTGCCTGAAGATCGAGTAAAGGATGTTGCTGTATTTGAAGTCAATGGCATGGATATAGCAGGACCACTGTATTTGAGGGATAAAACAAAGATCTGGATATTTCTATTCATGTGTGACATGTATCAGGCAATGCATATGGAGCTAATAACATCTTTAACAGCAGAAGCCTTCCTGCTCTCGTTGAGAAGATTTATATCATGCAGAGGTAGACCGACTGTAATTAATTACAATAATGGAAGTAATTTTGTAAAAGCTCACAGTGAACTCTGCAAAGTTGACTGGAAGAAAATAGCGGCTGAATCTACACTGGAGAAGATAACATGGAAATTCATTCCACCTTTGATCTATTTGCTTGAAGATGTTAATGATATAATTGCTCTCTCTCCTCCGATGTTCTTACAAGGAATGTGAAGAGAACAAGGAATGTGGAGTACCAGACATTGATGCTACTTATATGCATAAAAGACATCTTTACTTGCAGAGGATATGTGGAGATCTACGAAAACGATTTTGACTAGAATATCTTGGACATTTAAAACACACTAATGTTTCTGAAAGAATTTCCAAACTGATTTATATTGGAGATATAGTACTCATCGGTTCTGATAAGCTGAAGTGCCTGCAATGGCCAATAGCAAGAGTTCTCAAAGTCATACCTGGAAACGATGGTACTGTGAGAATTGTAAAATTGAAAACAAAATCCGGCATTGTCACAAGACCTATACAACGTGCTTATCCTTTAGAACCATTAGATAATCTTGAAGGTCCTGTTTTGAGAGGCAAAATCCATAGTGATTGTAAGACAATGACTAAAACTGATGACTGAAACAATCATGTTCCATCAGAAGGACAATCAGAATCCTCACCTCAAGTCACAGTCACTAAGAGTGAACAAACTGTGAAACCTGTTCATAGACTGTAATTGTGACATGTGCGACAGTAGGTTGAGTTCTTCCTGAACTTGAGGTAGGAGGATGTCGCTGCTGAGCCAGCCTCTCGGCAGTTTTCATTCCTTACGAACTGAAGTGAACTGAGATCTGGAATAAAACAGAGTGAGACTGTAGCATTAGAACTGAACGGAAGCAGAAATGCATGCTGCTCAGCATATTTTTAATTAAGTTCCTTCTATAAATTAAATTCTTCAGGAATATTTGTAAATACTAATAAAGTGTTATGTGTGCTTAAAGGAAGCCTCCTATTTTGGTTTTATGAGCTCACAGAAGAAAATCCTCTTAGCCATCCACCAAGAAGAAGAAAAAAGGTAAGTTTACCTTTTGAAATTTCATCTTCTAAAATAACATTTGTAACAAGAATTAGACTATCCACTATAACAAAAAGTGCTCACATAGAACACTAGTGGGTATACTTTATATATTTTTCAGTTACTCTTTCATCCCTTTTACTTTTTTATAATTTTGTACAGTATAAGCATGTACAATACATATATTAAATATAGAAGAAAATAATTTGACTAATCTTGAATCTAGAAAGCTTCAAATATAAGCAGGATTGTTTCATATATTTAATTACATTTTCATCTCATGCATTTTTTTGGGGGGTGGATATTTATAAAAGCAATACCTAAACCTTGATTATATTTTTGATATATATTGTATAATACATGCATCAGTAGCAGAAAGAAATTGCTTTCTTAAAATGCATGTATACTGAATAACCAATGACAGCAAATATTTTTATACAATAATAATTTACCATTAAGCAGAATCTTTTGTTTTCATGGCTGAAAGATTTGTCTGTGAATTTATGTTTTCTGCAATACAACTGCTTATTTATTTATCATACAATGTGGTCATACATTTATAAAAAAAATTATTTACAATTTTATGAAAATTATGTTTTCCATTTTAATGTACAAACAAGTGCTATGTGATCAGATGGGAAATGTTCATTTGGCAAGCCAATCTGAGCTGTTACTTTTTCATGACTAGGCATAGGCACTATATCAGTAACTTGTAAATTATTTTTACTGTAAAATATGTAATCTAAGCACCCACAGAATTCTTCTGTATAATTTGTATATTCTGGTGTTCCACAGGCACTACTTAAATGTAAATTATGCCTTAATATTGTGTCTGTATCTGGAACAGAATCTGCAAAGGAAAAAATTCTTCATTATAGTTTTCATTTATACATTTTATTTTCCTTAACTCTATACAGAATGTTTAAAAAAGAAGCTATAAGCTTCACTTCCTTAAATATTAATCTTAAACATTCACTTCCAATTACAAAATAATAATGAATTATATTAAAGCAGTTCCAGAACTGAGTGTGATAAGGCTCACTAAATATGAAATTTAACTACTTATATAAGGCCTTAGAGATGAAAATCCTAGGAGTAAAATGTTCAATATGATGGGTCAATCCAAAAGGTTTCATATTGTTACGAAATGTCAAGGCGCGGTGAGATGGCTTCCCCGCAAAGCAGTTTGCAAAAACCGGCAAAGGGGGCAGGGCGACAAAATTGGCGATATACCATGGATGGTTGGAGAACCTTCTGGAACGAATTCTTACCGGTTTAGCCCAGAATGTTCCTGAACACAAGCCAAAAGCTATATAAACCCTGCTGGTCCACAGTCAGTTAGTGTGAGTGTGCCTCGCATAGAGTGCGAGAGAGTTAGTATTGAGAGTGTGTCTCGTCTAGCGAGTCAATCCCTGCGGAGTCGATCGAGTTGACAGCCGGGCTACGAGTGCCGAGTGGGTCGTCGAGTTCACTGAAGGAGTCTCTTAGTGTAGCGCAGTTAGTGCATCGTCAAGAGAGCGTGTTGAGCTCCGGGAACGACTGAACCAAGGAGTCGGGAGCTGTGCTCGTATGTCATCGAGTGCATCGCAAGTTGTAGCGTGGAGAGTCTTGAGAGTACGTGGAGTTCCGAGAACAACCAAGCAGAGTCGGGAGCTGTACTTCGGAAAGCAGAGTCGGGTGCTTTGCAGTGAAGCTATCTCCACCGTTATTGCCTGACATTGTGAAGGCTGTGTCGCTGATTGTTCCAACGTGTTTATAGTAGATTTTCAATGACTGTAGAAAGTGTTATTGGAGCTGTCCTGATTAATATTGGCTAAATAAAGTGTGTTTCGATACTTCATCAAGCATCATCATTTCACTCCAAATCTACGAACCCCGTATGAACGTGAAGGAAGAAAATAACATAACAACTGGTGTCAGAAGAAAAGAAAAACGTAACGATATAAGGAGCTATTAGTAATTAATAGCTTCATGAAGGTCAGTTAACAGAGATAATAAATAACTAATGCTATTTCATCCAATGCAAACTGCCAAAAATATAAATTTTGTTTTGAAGTTTACTCATAAAATTCTTCAAACTACGGCAGTTTCATGGTGTGAAACAGAACCGGAGTTTGTTTTGAACATCAAATTTCTCCTAAGCTCAGTCAAGAATCAACCCATTGTGTTTTTTTTTTTTTTTTTTTTTTTTTTTTTTTTCCTGATTAAATTCATGCACTCGACCAAGTTGGTCAACTAAGTTCAACTTATTTTAACAAGAATCGAATTTAGTTTACGAAATAATAGAAAATAGCTAATTTTGTTAGATGGCAGCTATTAGTTAGTTGTCATAGGCAGAATTTGAGACAAATATTACAAAAAAGCCTTTAATGAAAATTATCAGACCTTTGCTACTTTCTAACAGCATGTTCCTCTGGAAGATGCCTGCCAGACTGAGAAGAAGCCTCAAGCAGAGCATCCAATATCTGCAATAGCCCGACAAAACAAGGAGAAAATTAACACCCATTGCAAAATTAATGCTGGTTAAAAAGTACCTTTAAAGCATTCATTTCCTTGAAGTTTTAAAACAGTAACAACAATTTTGGTACCATTGTCTCCACTACATGTCATTTTTTTATAAGCACTGAAATGTCAACAAGTTTGTTTATGAGTACCTCAGCAAACACTACAGTTAAATACATGAAGGTTCTTGTATTAATGTATTAACTTACTAAAGCATAATAAATGTTTTAATAACTGTACTTTATCAACCTTCATATCCCCAGTAGAGAAATTATTTTCATAAAATTCTCTGCCTTATTTTGAAAGCCTTTGTAATTAGAAGTGCAAGAGTATAATCAATATGCAATCAAACATCCGATAAAACATTGAAATATCAAAAATTCAGTACACATTACCTATTTTGAAGCAAAACAATTCTTCATAAAATTTAAAATCTACTTTAAAATTTATTTATTTAAACAGTTTCATTAAAAAAAAACTATGAACTAAGATTTACCTCTCTTCCAACTAGAGCAACATTCAAAGATTCCTGATGTAATGAAGTCATAAGCAGAAGAATCTGGTAAACTGTTGAAATCACCACAAAACAAAACAGGCAATGAATCCTCCTTCTGAAAACATTACCAAATATCAAACAAAATTGCATTTAGTTAAGAAAGAAGAGCATTTATTTTTCAAGTAAATAGTAATCTATACTGCTCAAAATGTTTGTTTCCTAATTTTCAAACTTTGTTATAATTAACCCACATAATCATTTACATTCTTTAATATGTATTTAATTTTTCTTTTACCATCACAGGAAATTAATAGACGAAACAAGAAAAATTTCATATGCACATGAAAAACTTGTATAATAATGTTACTGAAATTTCTTAACATCATTTATGAAAAACTGGACTCTCAAAATTAGCAAAGATAAATAAAATTCTGATTTAAAAAACAAATTATAAATCAATTCAAATCATACCATCTTTATAATGTGTTCAATATAACATAGACAGAAGGCTGCTTGTATGAGACGAACTTCAGGTGTATCTTTATTTGAATATAAATGAGTGTTTGCTACCAAAATTTTGCGGCCGCTGAAGTCTTGCAGAAGGACAGCCTACATGTAAAGCAGAAAATAATTAATCAGAAATTTCGTAAATTGCAATTTAAGTTAATAAGAAAGAAAAGTGTCCTATACATTCAAATAGAATTCTAAAATATAAAGTAGGTACAAAATACTATAAAAATCTTGCAGCAAATCTATGGAAACTCAATTACACAAATTATTACAGTTTCTAATTTTAGTATAGTATAACAGCAACATAAAAAATAAACACTTATTTAAACTAACATTTATGAATCACAATATCCCATAGCTGGAAAAAACATTCTGTATATGATGTTTTCTTCAGTTATCAGATACTCACAGGAATACTTTTAATTAAACAGATATAATTTTGTTATAAGTCAGTAAGTAGATCATTGTTTCGCTGTAATCATTGTTATGAATGTTGGAACATAACAGAAGGCAACAGAAAGCAATAACAGTCAGCCAAATTTTGAAATACAGTCAAAACTCTTTAATCCGGACTCCTCGAGACTTCGGTGATTCTGGATTATAGATCATAAGTTTAAATCTGGTAAGATGGCATGCAGAAATTATAAAATTAAAAATATGAAACCGTAATTTATGAAATAAAGAGCAATTATGATCTAAATGGTATCAAAATTGACAAAAAAAAAAAGCTTAATATTTATTTGTTTACTTTATTAAACATTTCTTTCAACGCGCGCATGCGTAAAGCATACATTACATTACGCAAATTAGAAAATTGCAACCAGAAAACTATTTGATGTATTCGTGATATTTATAATGACGAGGAATTTGATTTAAATCATATCAAAGACGGAGTACATCGAGATGAAATACTACATTTAGTAAGGAATTATAAGCCGAATAAAATAAAAACATCTGCCCTGAAGATAAGGATAGTGCTGACAGATCAACTTCCAGTTCATTGCGCGCCGCGTCGGTCCCTCCCCCCCGCAGAGCAGCGTGAAATTGATAAACAGATTTCGGAATGGTTAGAGAAACAAAGGATATGCCTTTATCCATTTTTTGCAGCAATTCCACTTTTTGTTTGATGGACATCGAAACATACTTTCGCTTTGTAGATCCTTTGGTAGCTCCAGAATCGGAAATTCTTTTTGACATAATCGAAAGTTCAAGCTTACTTTTATAAAATTGCTCTAACAGTCTGCAAAAAAATAATAAGCCGGATCCAATTCGAAGATTAAGGAACAACGCAATCTGCAACATTAACTGAAATAGATAATTAGATAATTTTAGCTTAGCTTATACCGTTCGTTATACATTAAACGCGCATGTGTAAAACGTATTATGCGCACACACGCAATGCGCAGTCGTAAAGGTATTATGCGCATGCCTTAACGCATTATGCATTGACAAATGCGCAGAAAGTTTGTAGCTTTGAGGTCTGGATTATAGATCATTCCGGATTATGGACGTCCGGATTAAAAACTTTTGACTGTACTAAGAAACATTGGGTAAATGACCTATTTTGCATCATCTCTATCAGTACATGAAATGTTTTCCTCTGACTTTCATCGACAATCCACATTCTTTGTTGTTTCGAGTTGCCGTGTTTATTCTAACAATATTTGATTAAGTTGGTTAAAATTTCTGACACAAAACTTCATAAGAGATATTGTAAGAAAAGACTAGTCAGCATAACAAACATAGAAACTAGTATGCAACTGCATTAAAAACAAACCAATTTACTAAATATTTGAAATATATTTCAAAGTTGAAATACATCCAAATTTTGAAAATAAAAATGGTTCTTCCATATTATCCCATTGAACATAAAACTGTAGGCAAACAGTGCAATTTAGCTCCGATTATGGAAAAGCAGCCTGTCATAGCATCTGTGCTTTTGTTTAATGTAATCCTGACTGATTCTCAAAAGGCCACCTTTTGTTTTTATAAAAAAGGATATAAATTAAAACCCTTAAGAGCAGCTGCATATGAAGGACAAAACAGTAATAGACTGGAATAATCACCTGCTCGAAGGTTGTATTCAAAGCACTTTAAATAGAGTTTTTGTTAAAATCAGAAGGCCCTATGAAATAATAGAAATCGACAAAAACCTTTTTATGTAGAGCAAAAAACGAAGTGGGTTAAAAATGTCTGTAGCAGTAGCTTGGTAGATTGTACAGAAAGACTAACAAATATTCTATTATAAGAATTGCCAAACATAAGTACAGCTTAGAGTTCTGAAAGAACAACTGGTGTGACTTTGATAGGATCTCCTCCTAACTTACATTATTCGATGACACCCAACTTTCACCATCAGCAGGATAATACATGAGAACCATAAAATTTTTTCACGCACATAGTTTTGAGATAAAATAACAAACAGAACAATTAAATCTGATTAAAAAAGTTAAATTTAACATATTAGGATGTATTTAGATTTAATAATTAAAAAGAGTGTCTCTTAAATACTGGAATAAAATAAAAGTGATTTTTTTCCCGTTCAAACATTAAAAATATACAATAGGGCTATTAAAATACTTAAGTTTGTTAAAATATGGACATTCAATTCAAATGTGAAACACATATAAAGCAACAGTACAGTTTGAAAAACAGTTTATAAGGCCAACTTCTACTAGATTTGATAAAATGAGATATCTATGAAAATATCTACACTTTATTTTAATGTCTCAGAATTACTTGGTATTCTACATTCCACATGATCTTGAATATTCTGGTGGCTTTGTGGATGTCACTGGTATAGAGACTGTAGCTGTCTTATTAATATAACAGCAATAGCTCAAAGCAGTAATAGCTTTTATTGCATACTAAGCCAATAGTTTTTATTCCATTTGGACAGGCACATTATTCTCCATTTCTTGCCAAAGAGAGGAAAAGATGAGAAAAGTTCCATTTTGCCCTCACAAATACAAAATATAAAGACCTTAAATGCATTCGCTCCTTCTCTTGCCAGAATGGCCATTATTATATGAAAAAATACAAAAGTGCAAGACGGAAGATAAAATAATAAAGTATAAAAGGTCTTTGCAGGCTTGTGGAAGTAGATTTATAGTCCATTATTGAGAAAACAAAAACCTTTGAATGCTCAATAGTCTGTCCACCTCATGGATTAGTGTCCTTACTTCTGCCGAATGGACTATGGTCATTAAGGTCCCTGGTAATAATAAATGGCTCTGTTAATTTATTCAGTGTCTCCATTATTCATTTGAAGTCAGATATATATAGGAAACAAAATTAATCCTTTTATGTTCGCCTAAATAGCAACAGCTTGAAGATAGGTATCTAAGGGAAAGATAGTTGATGAATAGTCATGTGAGGTGATATTTACACCTTAAATGGATATACCTGTCCTTTCTTACAAATGAATACCTCCTAAGCATAGCTTCACTATTCATTTTCAAGAATACTTTCTGTAATGGAAAAACTACTCGATGGCATTCATTAACAAGGATTTTGATATTCACAAGCCTGCTATAAACCACTGCAGTTCAATCAAGTAACAGCAGCATTTATGAATGTTTATTTCACTGGTGGTGATGCTGCTGCTGCCACCCAATAAAATAATGGTTAGTGACTCTGACTACCGATCTATAAGGGTCCGGACTGGAATACCAGAGAAGGCATAAATGTTGTTTGCGGCATGAGAGCACATTAAATATATGGCAAGACAAAAGTCCTCTTGTGTGGTTTAGTAGCAGGGAAAAGGGGTAGGAGACCTTCAGACCCATCTCCTCGGCTTCACTCGGTTGGAACTGAACAGAAGACATGATGTCATCTGTATAGTGCTCATGGCTCCTGCCAAATGACAGATGCAAAAATTGCACTCCTTGTCACATTAATATCCATAGTCCCCCCCCCTAAATATGTTAGACAAATGAGATACAACAGCAATAACAACAACTGGTGCTGCTTCTTTGTTGAGTGTGAAAGGAAACTTTCAGAAAGTTCCTGTATCTCACTAATTTCTACATCATCAAAGTCAGAGCCCATACTTGTGAGTGAGCTACAATTACGACTTTTAGACTTTATAGTTTGAAACTTAATCTGTTTTTTACTTGTGTTTCATTCATTCTCTTTCGTTAATTCAATTTCTGTTGGTTTGTTTTAGCTGCATTTTCTGGATCACTAATTACTTTCTTACACTGAATACCTAAATTCTTATCACATATGTTTCTGCTACGCAGGTCTGGACATCGAAAGGGATATTTCTCAGAACCTGCACATTTCTACAAAAGCTACATAGCTAGGTTACCATTTTTACTTACTTAAACAGAACTGAACACCAAACAGTAATCAATTATCACTCAGATTGGTTTTCTAAGAACACGAATTCTAGAAATCTTCATGTTTAAACCAGTACTATCAGAATCTCATTTCTCAGAAAAGGTCCTGCTTAGCAGGGACCATCGCTAGATGTGATTACCTCTTTACAGTGCCTTGTATTCCCACCGATTTTGAGGCATAAACAAATGAGACATGCAGACATAATTATACACTATATACAATGATCTTAGTTTCTGAAATAATTTCATTTAATAAAATTCTGTAATTATCCAAAACCCTAAAATAATGAAATGAACAATTCCTGAAAATTTTATTGATTATGCTTCCTATTTTATCTTCTTTTTAGGAAATGAATGAGAAAATGCTGTATGCTCCCTTTTGTATTTAATGCACATTGGCAAAGCGTTGCAATTATAATTGTCATGTCCCTTCATTAAGTAACACCATAAAAGGACAACTCCTCCCTGTCAATGAGATTTTACAAACTGCTGCTCAATTTAGCATCATTTAATAATACATTCTGATTATCATCACCATCACTGAAAGGTCATAAAAAAGACAAAACTAGAATAATTATGTGGCAACCCAGGATGTTGCCAAAAAGTATTTATGTCACAACTCAGGTATGCACATAGCACATGACTGTTTTTGGTGGGTACACATTGCTATAGTTCAGATGCTAAAGTTGTGCAGTTTTCTGAAAACAGATTGCTGTGCATATAGGGAGAACAAAACACCAGGCAAAAAAGAATAATTTCTCAAAAAGGGAATGTTTCCTACTTTTTTTAATTTTACTGGATTGCTCTCATATGGAATTCTTAGGGCAACACCATTCTGAAAATTACTATTGCCTTTTCTACATTAACTTGGCAAAAGATTAGTTTCCAATAAGTTCATGACTTTTCCATAGGGGTGTCAATAATCAGAAAATACCCATTTAACATTTTATAACAGATATATAAAAAATAATGATAAGATTGGTGCATCTTATAATTTTAACTAAAATGCAGGAATTTATGTTAAATTATGATTTGAAGTCCCAAACTAGCCATATACCCACCTGAAGTACTGTGTCTTGGGCAAATAATGTACTCATAGTCTTGCAATTGCCAGAAACTTTTGATAACAAATTCAGAAATATATCTTTTTCTCTCACAACTTCATTTAATAAAATTCTGTAATTATCCAAAACCCTAAAATAATGAAATGAACAATTTTAAAAACATATATTTAAAACTATGCCAGAACTATTTTATTTAAAAATTTAAAATATTTAATAGCAATTTTAAAGCATAATTTAAAAGATTTCTCCATCTTTTGCTTACATCTACATGAATATGGTTTTTACTTTTTCAATAAAAATGAATTGTCTTATACAGGTCTTTTTATTTTAACACTATGCCAATGGAAATATTCATCTCAACTTACACTATTGATCAAAGAGTGGATTACAATGTAACTTTGAGTATTACTGCATTATATAAATGATTTTATATGATTTAGGTCACAATAAGCAGAATGACTATATTTGAATTTTAAATTATACATATATTATCTTATGATGATTTTAAACCTAATAAAAAAATAACAGTATTAATCATGTAGAATAATTATTTGAATTATGGACCTGACTGAATCTTGCTGACTAGTTTTTATTAAAACAGAAATGTAAAACAAATTATGTTTTAAATCTGACTATTACTATCAACAATGACAGATTTCATCATATTTATCTATTATTCATTTTATTATAAAAATATACAACAGTGACATAAATGATGTCACTGAGTGCAATACATTTAAATAAACATTTTACATTTTTAGAGGGAAGGGCTAATAATTAATCATACTACCAACTTTTACTGCTGCAAAAAAAATTATCTTAGTTATTAATCTTGCAACTTCATAATTTATGCTTGCAAACTATATTCCTTTTCTGAATACAGTAAAAATTTCTTAATTAGGTTTCACTGCAATGATTCTGTTGGCAATAGGAACTATGAGAGGAGGAAAAAAAGACACCCAAAATAACGTATTATAGTAGAATTCCCTCCTGCTATAATCTCATATTTAACCATACACAGAAAATTCATCTGGAAGAATTTTTTAAAGTACCTATCTTATATTTAAGTTGCTACAATATCAACATTTATTTTAAAGACAATAATTCAAACTATATTTACGTATTATGTAATGTGAAGTCTAAAAGTAATTCTAAAATTCCTCTTTCCTTATATCTTTCATTTTATAGCATTTCACTAAAAATACAGTTTACATTGAAAAAGTATTTTTAATTGAAGCTACACACTTTTTGATGTAATCTATGCATTTTTTAAATGTAATAAATACACAAGATATTTTTAAAGTTTTCTAAAACTTTTAGATTAGCTTCAAAGTTTGAATCACTGAAAGCGTAACTAGAAATATGAAAATTCCTATACATATACGAAGGTTTTAGACTTGTAAAGCTAATCAGTTTTTAAAAAACAATATGAAGGAAACATTATGACAAGGATTTAACAACCAAATGCACATATTCAATAGGTTAGTAAAAAAAAAAAAAAAAGATCTTCATTCTATAAGACAGTTAGAAATTTCAGCAACAATATGAAGGATGCACATATGTTTCCTTCATATTGTTGCTGAAATTTCTAACTGCCTTATAGAATAGAAATCTTTAATTTTTTTTTTTTTTTTTTTTTTTTTTTTTTTTTTTTTTTTACTAACCTATCGAATATGTGCATTCAGTTGTTAAATCCCTGTCCCTCGTGAAATATTTTGACTTGATTCATTAGCACTGGATCAATGAAATCAATGGCATTAGCACTAGCATCAATGGCATGGGTTTAGCTGTGAAGGTGTCTAACTCATTTAAACATCTCTTTGTTATGTTCATCACTTTCAGCATAATAAATGATTCCCCCCCTCCATTATTCATTGCAGGTTTGTTGATAGAAACGACAAAATTTAAAGAGTTTTTCCTTCTGTTTTTATGTCAGATATGGTTGATTTTCAATTTCTTGCATATTTCTGAGACAGATATGCTTTTATCCATTTTTTGTAGTAATTCCACTTTTTGCTTAATTAACAGTGAAACATGCTTTAACTTTGCAAATCTTACTACAGCTACAGATTTAAAAACTCTTTTCAACAACTGAAAATTCAAACTTGAAGTTAAAGTATATAGTTGCGATAATAATAACCTGCAAAAAAGTAATAAACAGAGTTAAGTTCGAAAGTTAAGGAAAAGTGCAATTTACTATATTAATTGAACTTAAGTTTCTCAGAATCTTTCTTTCTTCCCTGCTGCTAAGCCAAGAAAAGAAAGATAGTATGACCAACAACCCATTCCAAACACATATGTCTTATGTAGACTTCACTTATTAAGACAGACAGAAAAATCTTAATTCCCCACATCCACTTATAAAGGCCAAAAGTGTGAACGTGACAAACGTAAATCAGTATATTGTCACTGTCAACAGTGCAATCCTCTAGACAGCAGTTGTTTGAAAATGACATACAAGAATCTCAAACAGCTGGAAGAGAAAAATCGGTACTATTCCGTTTTGAAGACCGTAAAAAATTGCAGCGAAAATGTATGGGCAAAAGCACCAAATCTAGCAAACATGCCCATTTAACAGTGCGCCAAATCTAGCGTACGCTCTGATTTCAGATTGCGTAAGTTTATATAGTTCTATATTAAGACGCCATTGAAATACTAGTTTAATTTTTAAATCCTTTTTTGATTTTAAATCCTTTTTTAATATCCTATGGATTTAACAATTTGGGAATTGCCCATGACGAAAAGTCGGCAATAGAATTTTGGGCAAAGTGCAGAATCACCCACTGCTTGACTCATTTTTAAGAATTGCACATACTCCGTATCCATGTGCACATCGACCCATTTTCACTTAAAAAAATATCCCAGAATTGCACAAAAACGGCACTGTGCACACCCTTGGCTTTATCTATGTACACATCGACCTATTTTCACTTAAAAAGTAAAAGAAAATTGACAAAAATCCAATTGTTTTTACCCTTGTAAAAAGCAGAAACAAATACGTGGGCGATTCTGCCCTTTACCGAGAATTTTTTCAAAGAAAAGGCATCATTCATTAGAGAAAATTATACTTGAACAACCAACGACATGAAATTATGCTTTAGCGATAACTCGGTAGCGAAATAGTAATGCAGGCATCCATTCAGTTATGTTTAGCAATTTTTATATAAATTATAATAATGACCTGAAATAGTTATTAACTCGTATGCTTCCACTCAGTCATGTTTAGCCTTTTTTTATATAAATTATAATAATAAAAAAGTATTATATGAAATTAAAACATCAATCTTAAATAGTTATTTATTATTATACTTCCTTTCTTGCGTTAGGGTTGTCGTAATTATTTTTGGCAGCCCTGGCATCAACATTAGTTTGGCGATTTTTTACGGCCCTCAAAACCTAATAGTACCGAAAAATCATACCTGCAGATCACTTGCTTTTTGTTGAACACAATACTCAATTAGTCAAGAGAAAAATCAGAACTGTGATTTACCTGCTTTTTAACAATATATTCTCCATTCCTAAACTCTGTAAGAAGAAAAAATTACTGGTAGTCCATAGGCGCAGACTGGACATCTGGACTTCAGACTTTATGCTATATATACGATACCAAGAAAGACCGAAGTTAGAGAATGTCGGCATTCACCAGCAAACATCAACCTTCTCCAAATACGTTGGTGAAAGACTGAATATCTTTTTATACGAGTACATTCGGACCATCACCGGTGGTTGTTGCAATAAATAAGTATTTACAATGTAAATCACATAATTATGTCAATTTATGCAGTAATTTATTCGTATGATGGCATGTTCATGGTGGTGGCCAAAATGTATATGTCATTTGTTGAAATAATGATGCGTATAGTGGTAACTTACCCCAAGGTAAGATTCTGGTCTATAGCCCGCCATAACCAGAGAATGAAAACATGTGAAACATATACATCAGATGGTTGCTTTATTCGTAGATCCAATTTTGAGGAGTTACTACTTTCATAATTCTGTCATGTCACTTAACGATATGAGGCCTCTTCACTCAGAGAATATACGAATCAAGACTTCAACAGAGACCCTTGAAAGAGTTGTAGCAAATGCAAAATCTATCCCATGCAGCTTCTTTTCATTGGAAAGCAACTGACTGCCGGGCGAAAAAACCAAGCCCGGGAAGAAAATGGTTGGCAGAACCTTAGTAGAAAACAGCATCAGAAAAAGAAAAACTATTCACTGACTTCATACTGTTTCATACAAGATGACAAAGAAAGCTTGCAAGAAAAAAATAGTTCGTATTTCACCACACACTCCGTCTCTCCCCATGCACCATCTGCAACTTCTCAATCAGCACAAGGTGCAGAAAATTCCCGCCAGTTTTTAAGTCCTACAGTTACACTAAGAGTTAAGTTTTGCAGCCAATGAAAAAAAAATCCAGCATCAGAAGGGCTACCAATCACAAAATACCTCCAGCTACACAGACAAACAGAAGTGAAGTGGCTAGTTGTCTGATGCAATCCGTTCCTCCGCTTACATCACAAATTGATACATACAAAAAAAACTGTCACCAATGGAATCTGATGCAAACACCTAGATACTGCCATAACATTGTAAACAATTAATGAACTTCAATTCAATGTGACCTCGTCACAATTTATTATTGGTGTTATTTTCTTTTCTCATTCAGAATGTACTGTTCATTTTACAGTCAACAGTACTCAATAGTACAGTTATCGGGACCGGATTCAGAAATGTATGTATATATATATATATGTAAGATAAAAATGTATGAATCAGAATTATAATATAACTATAAAGATTAATTCTTCCTCTCTATTCTAAAATCATAATAACTTATCTGCATTGCGTCATTCAAATTAATCATGCGAACTTACGTAACTGTTAATACCAGATGCCTCTTGACGACCAATCACCGAATTGTAAACCAAAACTTTTCTCTTCGCGTGCTTCCATCTTTCATAACGACGCACTTCAGCTTTTGCTCTCTACTGTGCTAAGATGTAATTTTGCTGGCTTGCTTTCTATCCCAACAATATCAAAAATGTAAATCTTCTGTGGAAAGGCACGACTAGAGTGCCAAGTGATTGTGGCCACAAATATCAACTAGAAATAAAAATGGAATTAAAACTGCCTCGACTGCCAAGTTCTTTAAATACTACACAATCAAAATTCTTCTTCAATATGGGTCTAATCACGCATCTACAGTGTTCCGTCTTTTCCTTGTGCTTTTATTATGCCATATATATATGTACGTATATATGTGTGTGTATATACACATATATGTGTGTATATACATATATGTGCATTCTCAATCTGGTCCCAATAACAGAAGCGTTACATGTGTTGTTCACTATATACATTTTCGAACCTAAATTGCATAAAGAATATATAGCAGCATATTAAATGAAGAAAGAGTATAAATTTTTAGTTATAATTAGATCATATCAAATTTAAAATAAAAATATATAAAAATTCATACTTATATTTAGATGAGCGATAGAAGGTAGCTAAACCTTCAAATCTTCGTCCTCCCTTCTTTGCATAGAAGCCATGATATCCTGCCATTTTCAGAACTTTTATGAGATCGTGTTCAAAGATACGTTCCTGAACTTCTTGTAAGCAAATTATATCACTGTTATAGCCTAGAAACAAATGAATTATTATTCTACATGCCTTTTCTTATCTAAATATTATATTACATAATTAAAAGAGGCAAAATATTTTATATTTACCTAAAATTTCTTTCAATAGTAACTGTTTTCTATAATGAATATTCCTTGCTTTCGCTGAACAATATGGAAAGTTTCGTTTTTCAACATACACATTGGCTAGAACATTATAAGATACACATCGAAAACTGCAAAGTATTATAAATTACAACAATTAGTGCTATTAAAAAAGCATATGTCTACAAAATAGAGTGCTAGTAATAAATTAAACTATTATGAGATAACATGACTATAAATAATCTAAAATAAATATTATAAAGTTAGAATACGATAAACTGAAGATGTCAAATGAACATGGAAATGAACATTAAAGCTGAATACATTTTTCTCTTATAACAGCTAATTGATTTGAACTTCTTGCCTATATTCATTTTGTGAGCAATGAATATAAATCCGTTGTGTAATTTAGGAAGTAGAGCTTTCCAGGATGTTAACTGTTATGAATGTTATGTGAATCCGGCATAAAATAATTTTAAATTAAAATTACAGATTATTTTCATGTAATAAATTCATGAAAAATGAGTGTATAATCATTATTTTAAAATAAAGAAAATCAAGAAGAATGAATAGGTTCAGAATATTTTATGATACAGCAAGACAAAATAGTCAGTCTGGATCTGTTTATGAAGAGGAGATGATAACTGAATATTAAGAAAGTCTGGATGCCAGAGATAAATTTATGAGATCATGTATTATCGGGTTCTTACTCAGAATGGGGTCTAAAGGTAAGAAATGCAAACCAAAGAGGGAAGAACTGGGACCACAGGTAGACAGATGTATGAGATCTCATTTATTATTTAAGATCAAAAAGAAGGTTTTAACTTAAAAGAAAGTGTTTTAAGAGTACACTGCATGACAAATACGTTACATATATGCTTGATAAATACACTAAATATATGCTTGAAAGAGCTTACATTACAGTTTAATTTGATATCAGCAAATCTGGCCGGAGAGATACAGTGGCAGAAGATTTTTATATTAAATGGGATTGTTAGAGGAATCAACATTTTTGTATTATTCATTCAACCCTCTTGCAAATTTGGCAATTATTGGTGATTAATTTTTTGCCAACGTAACATATGAAAAACAGTAGTGGTGAAAAGTGGTGAAAGTGCAGAATCACCCACTGCTTGGGGCATTTTTAAGAATTGCACATACTCCGTATCCATGTACACATCGCCCATTTTCACTTAAAAAAAATATATCAGAATTGCACAAAAATGGCATTACACACTCCCTTGACTTTATCCGTGTACACATCGACCTATATTTTCACTTAAAAAGGTCAAAGAAAATTGACAAAAATCCAATTCTTCTTACTCTTCTAAAAAGTGCCAAACAAATAAGTGGGTATTCTGCACTTTACCCACGGTAGCAAAAAATGACAACACACTGAAAGTTACATAAAATAGCATAGAATTGATGAAATTTAAAATGCAAAAAACATAATATAGAAAAAGTCCGATTTTGTGTCAAAATACCTATATTAAAACAATGCTATATCAGATCATCACTTATGAAAAGTGCATTTACTTCAATGTCACAGGCCAAAAAGAAGGTTTGTCTGATGTCAAAAAAGATGGCTGCTACGCTAAACCAAAATAACAAGCCAAAGAATTGCACAAACTCGGTTTTTATGTACACATCGACCTATTTCCACTTAAAAGTAATCAGAGAATTTCACAAACTCGGCATAGCCATGTACGCATCGATCTATTTTCACTTTAAAAAGATCAGGAGAATGATGACATCATATAATGTTAAACCAAAGTTACTCATTACCAAAATTTAACAAAATTTGTAGCCAATTGAAGCTCAATAAACTGCATTTTAAATCACACAATGAAATAACATAAAAAAGGAAATACAGCTTATTGCATGTGTGCACTGCAAAAAGGAAATATCGACTTACCATATTTAGAAATTTCTGTTTCTTCAGTCTGAGACACACAAAATTCCTTCACAGCATCCAAAAACTTTCAAAAATTATCTGAATTAGAATAAGCATACTGCCATCACCACATAAATTCACAAAAATAAAAGTAAAAAATGTCCTCCATAGTGCTGGACTGTCAGTAGCATTTCTGCATGAATCTTTCTTGCGACAAACCCATTCAAAGCCATCTGAATGATCATTACGTTGGACCATATACATTTCCTTCATACAAACAGGACACTTACAATGATTACAAAGTAAACCTTCGTTTATACACCAGTCAATTAATGCTTTTCTCCCTTTTATTCCAAATCATACAGAAGCTTCACATTAATCTCATCACATAGAGACATTTTATAGTGTACAGCACAAATAAGCAACGTACTTCCTAACTGACATCCAATGCAGAAATAAACCCTTACAAATATTTTCCCATCGGTCAAATTCACTGCAATCACACAACCAATAACGTCATAATAGGGCTTCCACAACATTCAACTGCTTAGGTTACAATAAATAAAACAACAATTTGGTGATAATCCAAGCGGCACCCTAAAATATGGGCTAACCATTGATTTTAGACTCTGAATTACTCCAGATAACTTTATGTTATAAAGAAAATTCAATGAGAAAAATCACTTATGACTGTAAAAACACTCTGAAGAACTGAGTGTATAAAAAGAAAAAAAAAAAAAAAAAAAAAAAAAAAAACATTAACAAATAAGAGGAATTGGCATAATAGAGTCAGTTTACAGGACTACAGTTTTCACAGTTAAGCAGAACCTTCTTCAACAGCTATTTTCACAACTGAAAAGAAAGGTTCTATTTAAACTTTGAAATAACAGTTCTGCAAATTTACTCATGCTCATTTTAGTTTCCTCACAGTCACTTTCATTTCTAAAGGGGATTTATGATCTTGTAGATTTAAAGTTATATTTTGTTTCAGAGTACTTTCAATTCATAGTATACTTTTCTCATAAATTTCAATATTTGAAATTATTTGAATATGAAAAACAATATAACTCTTATAAAATATATTTGATCCATGATACAATTATTATTGACTTAATTTGCTGATAACTTTTTAAAAGCCTTTGTAAAAACTTGTTGCTTTAAAAAAAAAGAGAGAGAGAGAGAGAGAAACCAATTACAAAACTTTTAAATTACATGTACCTTATATCAAATCTGTGATTAGAATATATTTGATTATGGAATCCAATCCATGGACTCAAGGATGAAAATCTGGTTTATGATTGCTTTTTCTTAGAAACTACTCGGGAAATATCAAACCCAAGAAAACCTACTTTGTTATAATACTCACTGAAATTTTCACTGACCTTTCTATGAGTAAAAAAATATAACAGGATAGAAAGCTTAAAATGTACTCATTCTTCTTTACTGGAAAATCAGGAATACATTTCAGAAATTCAGAATCGTTAGAAAATTATGTAAATGCTATGATATTAAATACATCATAATTGAAATGAAAATAAAAAATTGCTACATTATTGATTTTTACCAAAATATACTACAATCAAAATTTCCCAAAACTTAATATTAAGTGTGGTAATTTGCCTTTACAATAAATTAATTTTAAATCAGTATATTCTCACCTATCTTTAGTGGATAATGTTTTTGTATATACATGTCGTTCCTCAAATGAAAATATATCAGGTCCAGCTTCAACAACTGAATCGCTCTCAACAGCAAAATCAGGACCAGTTTGGTCTCCCTGCTTTGGAGTGCATACTACTTTCAAATAACATCCGACGTCATCTTTCATTGTGAAATAAATAAAGCCTTCATTTACTTTCAACCAATATTTATCATGGTCTATAAAAATATCGTGCTTCCTTTCACTGTTAACATATCTAGACACATCAGCTTTTGCAACAGACCGATACCATGTAAATTTACAATCATCTAAAGATGCACACTCCAGAATAAAATGAGGACGAATAGGACAACCTGCTATAATATGACGCGGTAAACTTAGTTCCACAACTGTAGGTGTATTGTATTTAATTTCGTACAAATCATTTCCAATTTTAAGCATAGATGCCTGAGGCCATGCTTCAATATTAGGAATGTTCTCATCCATCACTTCATTGTTTTTTATTAAAGATACTTCAGTATCTCCATCGACGTAAGTTTCTACAACGGTTTGGGCTGTCATTGCATATTTATTCTTTATACCTCGAAGAATTTCTTCTCGTTTATGTATTAATTCGGTTTTAGCCTTTATATGAGATAAAGCAATTTGAACACCCTCATCTTTTGGCCTTTTAATAATCATGTTATAAAAGTTTAAGTACTTAAAAGTAACTTTAATCGAATCATCATCTTTTACGCTTACAACTTTAACAGCAGAACCATTAGATGTAGCTACACTATATTGTCGAAATAGTGATCGGAATGCACTGTTCCGAAATAAAGTAAACGTATAACGCATAGTGAAAACACAAAAAATCTTTATATATATTAATTCAAGAAAGATTTATATCATGTTTTCAACACACACAAATAGAATACCGCTAATTTGCAAATAAATGTTTTAAATCAGATGTAAAGAGTATGCCGATGTATAGTGACAGTAAATATCAGTCGATTATTAATTTACGTTTGTTTATTTATAATGTTCAAAATAAATATCTCATGCTCTCAGTAATTTAAACTCTCCAACTTTCTTCACACAGTTTGTAAATGAAAGACCATGCCGGCTCTAGTTGAAATTCTTGGGTTCATCCCGATTCTTTTTATTCCCAGTTTTAATATTCTTGTTTCGTATTTCTCAGTTTTACTATTTTCTAAATTAATTTCTCTAAGTTTTTAATGACTCTTTAAAATTTATTTGTACTTTAGAGGTACTGAAAAATACGATAGGTTTCCTTCCCCCCAAGCATTTTACCTCCTAGCTCAAAGACCGAACGTCGCAGTGCACTGCAAAAGTCTTTTCGTCTGTTTATTTCGGTGCGAATACACGTGTGTTATTTTTTTAATTTGTATTTTTGAATTCGTTACGAAATGAATTTTGTGCCTTGTTTGACATGGATTCCACAAGGAGTGGCAAAATCTAAACCTGATAAAGTATTTTTTCATTACTTTTTAACGTTCATATTTATGTTTTTCCAAATATATTTTACTCATTCCTAAAATTTTCTTATTAGCTCCAACTGTCGCCAGAAGAATTGAAAAAGATAGTTCAAGAAACAAAAGATATTTGCGGGTAAGAAGAAAATTCTTTAAATTTTAGGTCATACTGAATGTTATTACCAAGCTTTGTAATTTTAATACATTTAATTGTTAAACTCTATATAAACTTGTGTATCTGTATGATATGTATATATCTCTCTGAAGACCATAACGCCCCAGACGGCTTTCATTCAAACGGCCGAAATTTTGATGTTGTTTTCTTTCCTCCGCTAAGGTATTAAGTAGCAGGTGCAGTTTCCCCAAATACATTGTATCAGTTTATTGCAGACAACTTTCCCTAAAAGGATTTATTTGTGATTTCTTATCTTTATTTGTTCGAAGTAGAAGGGATGTCATTTGTATATGTCACTCTTCTGTGTGTGTTAATGGATGGGCAGGGGAGGAAATTTCTGCAACTCTTTGGGGTCTGATTAATGGCTAGACACCCAATTTAGAAAAATAAATTCTTTAATTAATCAAAATATGTACATTACAATAAGTAACAGGAATCTTGGTGATGAGTAAAACGCGTACATAAACTTGTAAAAACAGAAGGCGAAAGTTCTCTTTTGCAGTCGCGCAGAGATGGTATTCTTATTGTGTATGTGCGAAGAGGAGAACTCGAAGCGGGGAGGTAGCCCCACACCATCTCCCTTCCTGGAAAAAGAAAATCCGCTAAAAATCTAAAAAAAAAAAAAAAAAAAAAAAGAGGAAAAAAATTAGTCTTCCACAAATCGTTTGGGGAAGTGGACATGGCGTCCTGAACGAGTTTGATAATTTGCTTTTGTAGGAGCACTTTTTTTCAAGTGTCTGTTTATTTACTGGATAGGTTGGTTGCTGCGATGAGGCCTTATCCACATCAGTCAAACTAGGAGGTTCAGATACATCATCTGGGACCAAATAAGCAGGTTTTACTCTGTCGATAGACACAGTGATATCATGTCCTTCTTTAGATATGGAAGTTTTATCCCCACATCGAAGTACTTTGTATGGACCCATGTAAGGTGTAATGCAAGGAGGGTTTTACCATGTCTACATGTAGAAAAACATGAGAACATTTATCTGTCTATACACAAAGATCTGTTTTTTAGAATGATTGGTAGTAGCAGTCAGGCGAAGATGTTCTAGATTATCATTCAATTTTTTTAGGAAGTCACTCCTCAGAATGTTGCTGTCAAGAGGCATAAAGAATTGCCCCGAAAGATGCAAAGTTTGGCCATACAGCAGTTCGGCTGGAGAGCAGTTAAGTTCCTCTTTGAAAGCAGTCCGAAGTTCCAAAAGAACTGAAGGCATGCAATAGTCAGTGGTACAGAGTGGACACATTATGGATTGTTTGAGGGTCTGTGCCACTTTCAATGATGCCATTGGCTTGTGGGTAATACGCGGTGGTGTGAGAAAGGCGAATACCAAAATTCCTTGCTAGTTCTCGAAAGAGTTCACTACAAAATTGGCTTCCACGATCAGTGGGGATCTGAGCAGACACACTGAATCTTGAGATCCAGCCTTGGAAGAGGTCCAATCAAATCTATATTGATATGAGAAAAATGTTCATCTGGAACTATAAAAGTAGTTAAATGAGAGTGTACATTTAGCCTTTTGACATTGTAGGCAAGTTTTAGTGAAGTTCGCGACATCCCTTTTTCATTCCGGGCCAGACAAATCGGTCACTAATTAATTTCAGCATTGCTTTAGGTCCAGGATGGGAAAGATTAGGCAGAGCTGAAAAGACAAGTTTTCTATGTCTGGAACAAAAGGACAGATTTTACCATGTGAAATGTCGCAATACAGTTCTATAGAATTCTCAGGCATTTTTATCTTCTTTAATTGCAGAACTGGATTTTCTTTTTCTAAAAAAGATTGGAGTACAGTGTCACTCTTGTGCTTTCAACATAGATTCGTAGTTAATAGGAATGACATTAGCAACCATTTCGATGCGCGAAAGACCATCGGCTGGTCCATTTTCTGCACCACTCACATGTTGAATATCAGTAGTGAACTGGCTGATAAAATTAAGTTGATTAATTTGTCGAGGTGAGAGCTTGTCATACTTTTGGGAAAATGCTTTTTTGAGTGGTTTATGATCTGTAAATACTTGAAAGTTCATACCTTCAAGCAGATATCTGAAGTATTTGATAGCGGCAAATATTGCCAACAGTTCTCGATAGTACATGCTGTACTTTTGTTCTGTATCACTCAATTTTCTAGAGAAAAATCCTAATGGTTCCCATGTTTGAGCACCGAGTTGTTGGACGCAAGCACCTATGGCTTTGTCTGATGCGTCGCACATGAGAGCAATTTTCTTTTTTGGATCTGGGTGGACTAAGCTTGTAGCCTGTGTCAGAAGCTGTTTACACAAGTCAAAGGCTGTTTCAGTGTCTATTGACCAATTTAAAGGTGTTTTGTCATTTTTCTTACAACGTCCGAGCATACCATTTACAGAGTTGCCAACTCTCCCGATTTTCAACCACTATCCCGCCAACCTGATTTACAATATATTTCTCCTGACTTTTTCTTATTCTTAATTTCTCATTATTTTTATGGAACTTGGCTTAATACTTTGTTATATGAACAAAAAAAAAAAGTGATTTTGGATGTCTGAAAGCAATTGAATTTTATCTAGATTATATCTAAAACAAAACTTTGCGAATCAGATGAGAATTTCTGCTTTGTGAGTGAGAGCATACGTATCCAGAAACGTCGTTCTCCAGTTCTCCAATGGGTATCGAGCTCCACTGCGTGTCATCTGCCATATATCGGCCAATGAGCACAATGCAAGCTCAAAGCTGTTAGTTGTATGTTCTTTAGTTATTTCATTCATCTTGTCCTGAGTTGTGTGAGTACACGTGCCTTCGGGAAATAGTTTTAGAAATTATCATCTTTTGTTATGTCTGTGAGAAAGGTGAAATACTCGTGTACGTTTCAAAAATCGTACACAGTTGACTTTCCTTTTATTATTTCCTCAAGGAAATGTAATAAATTTGCGATGTGTCCTGTCTGTCGTTGCGATTTTTCGCTTTCACATGGTGGAAGGGCGGATGTTCTCAAACATGTGCGTACACAAAAACACAAAGACAACATGAGTTGTTTTGAAAAAAACAAAAAATTAAATTTTTCTTTGGAAACAAAGGACCGAAAATTTATTATTGCAGAATGTCTGTTCTCTGCCTTTTACAGAGAACAACCTGCCCTGAATGCATCAGATCACATTGCAGCTTTATTTAGAAAAATTTTTCCCGATAGTGAAATCGCTAAGAAATACTCAAGTGCAAGGACCAAAACATGTACAATTGTTAAGGAAATGGGTTTGAAAAATAAATCTTTAGTTATTGATTGCATTAAAACTGCTCCGTCCTGCCTCTTTATGAATGGAAGCAATAATACCGATTCAAAACTGTATCCAATTGTTCTTTTTTTAATCCAGAGTCTTCAGAAATTAAGTGAAGTTTACTTTCTGTCCCCACTTTAGAAGGACATTCGACAGGCTTTGATATAGCACAGCTAATTATTAAAACTTAAAAAGAAAATGCAGTCCCTCTTGATAATTTGCTGTGCACTTGGTGCTGATAATGCACTAGTAATAATAGGCTTGAAGACTGTTGTTGCAGGCATCTTAAGAAAGGAAAATTCAGATTTCCAGATTATGAGGTGCACCTGTCACCTCTTAAATTTAGCAGCTGAAAAAGGGGCAGCTTCTTTACCAATAAATGTAGATAAACACATTGTTGATATTTATTATTATATTGGAAGGAGTTCTAAAAGGAAGGAAATATTGAAACAGTTCCAACAGCTGCATAACTAATATTAGTGGATGAACGCATTAGAAAAACTTTTTATTTGCGAAAAGCAGGCCTACGGTGGCAATTGCGATGAACAAGATTATGAAGTTTCTTAACGAAAGCAAAAACTGTTACTGTTCATAACATTTGTACGAAAAGTGATTAGTCTTTTTTTTTTTCTTTTTTTTTCCTTAAACGATGCAAGTAATAAAAATGTTTTTTGTGTGTGCGTTATTTTTGTGTTGCTTGCATTTAAGAATTAGTAACTTTTTAAAGTTAATTCGTTATTAAAAACTATATTTTTATCATTTAAAAAGTCTTTTTAACATTGTGAAAAATCTCCTGATTTCTTAAAAAAGTCTCCTGATTTTTGAGTGTGATAGGTTGGCAAGTTTGCATTTAAAGGAAGTTAAACTTCAGCAGCATGATTTAAATATCTCCTATGGAAATTAAGAATTCCCAAAAAATGTTTCAGTTCATTAACAGTTTTGTGTTTGGGAAAATATGGGATAACTTTAATTTTCTCTGAGGTAAAGGAATGATTCCATACCATAATGTGACATAAAAATTTTACGCAATCTACAGCAAATGTGCATTTAGGAAGGTTGACAGTCAAATTATGACTTTTCAACCTCTTAAAAACTTCTTTGATATGAAGTATATGTTCATCGAGGGATGATGAAGCAATCAAAATATCATTTATATAGGCAGAACAGAAATTTAAATCTGACATAATTTGATCGAGTAATCTTTGCATGGTTTTGTGCAGCATTATGTAAACCACATGTCATGTAGTTGAACTCAAATAATCCGAAAGGGGTTTGCCGTTTTTGGTATCTCCTCTTTATTCATTGGTGCCTGGTAATATGCCTTGTTGAGGTCTAATGTTGAAAAAACAGTTTTATTGCCCGAATTAGATGTAAAGTCATGTAGATGTCTAATTGAATAATTATCTGGAACGGTGATTGAATTTAATTTACGGTAGTCTCTACAAGGCCACCAAGACCCATCCGGTATTTTTACCATGTGCAGAGGACTACTCCAGCAGCTTTTAGAAGGGCTACAAATACCTTTTTGCACTAAATAAGTGAATTTTGCTTTTGCGGCAGCCAATTTGTCCTAGCCTTAGCTGCTACTGGAGAACCTTTAGTTTTGATTGTGTGCGTAATTCCAAGGGTATTGTTATCCAAATTCTGTTTTAAAACATCTTGAAGCAGAGAATCATATATTTTAAGTAAATCATTAAACACATGTAACA